TAACTAATGAACTCGACCCTTTTCTAATCAAGCAAATGAATTTTGTCATAACTGCCCTCAATTGCACATGACAACGGATATTCTAGACAAGGGCATAAGTCTCTTTTCCCATTAAGGGCTAGAATAATAATAAATTCCCATTTCTTTTGGGAAAATGTTTTCTTCTCTTTGACTGTTGTCAGACTGAATATTAGAAAATCTTACATTGGCCAATTGGTTTCTTGATTGCCCATTGTTTTTAATTAATTGTGTAATGAGTAATATGAGACCATTTCACATCTTCCCTTTTTCCTCCTTTCTCCAAACTACCTAACTTATGATTATTTCAGTATCTTGATTTCTAAATTAATGCATACTTTAGATTTAATCCCATCATTACATCAAATTGCCCTGCTAATCGTTCGGCTTTCTTCTCCATACTTCCTTTTAGGGGTGCGTTTTGTTCTTTTACTTGTTAATCATGCTATATGATCTTCAAGAATCCTAGAGAACATATTCTATTGTATATCCATGTTCTTTGAAATTTTAAAAGGGTTTGGAGGCCTTGGATTATACCCTAATTATTTGTTTTTTTAATTAACGTATATTTGGGGAAAGAGAAAGAAAGAATGAAAAATTTGGAGATTGTAATATTAAGAGAGTTGGGGTTGGTTTGGTTTTGGAATGTTGCATGATAGGGAGGTGTGTCCACATCCTTTTTGGAAGTTGTGCATTTGCTTGCATTTGGAGCATGTGACTCAATGAGTTTTTAATATGCTCTACTCTTCTATTGCTAGGAACATGATGTTAGCCCGCAGTCACATATGACGGTATCAACAGGGGGAAGCTGAGTTCCATGGTTTACTGGTCTAGTTGATGAACCAATACTATAAAGCACTACCAGGAAAAAGGATATTCCTCCTGCTTTCCAAAACCCTTTCAGTTAAATTTTAAGGTTTGAATCTCTATACCGCTCATGTCTTTTAAGTTCTAATTGTATATAGAAGAGCAGAAATAAGCTTTAACAGGCGGCAGAATATAGACTGGCCAGTCGCCTTTACTGAAAAAATATTCAAATAAGCAGCTGAATGGACCATCACTGCTTTGATGACATTTTCACAAAGAGCCTAATGATTCTTGCGGGTCATAAGGAATTACAAAGATAAACGTCACAAATTAAAGCAACAATTAGAATGACATGAACTTTACCCTTGTATTAAATTGATGCAACAATGACACAATTTTTTGCATATTTCAAATAGAGACTAGAGCAACAGTTAAAATGACATGGACGTTACCCTTGTATCAAATTTATGCAACAATGACAAATTTTGGATATTTCAAATAGAGACTAACATTCCAAATTCAACAGATGGGAAACCAAACTTTTCGTGGAATGAAAGAACTGTGTGTTTGGTAATTTCTAATTGCAGTCAGTGTTGTTTGATCATATACTAGGAATAGATTTTGCTCGGATAAATTGCTTAAGAAGAGCTTTCTCTTCATCAAGGCGCTTCTTTGCTTCAGGGTCTGTTGGTTTTAACTTCCTTTTCTCTTCCAATATCCATTTGAAAGGCTCACGTTGCTGATTCTCAGGAATGGGTTCAGGCAACTTCTCAGGTGCTACCATGGATGGTGTGGAAAGGTGTTTCTTGGTAACTAGAGTGGTAATAACAGCTGTGGCCAAAACTGGAGTAGAAGGGACACCTTTTGTAGCATCTTCCTCTGTTATGCCTGTATCCTTTTTCCCAGTTCTCACGAATAGGTAAGCTGCATGTATCATACAAAGTTATCAAAGTATTAGAAAATAAATATCCCAAGAAAAAAAAAATGTAAAGAATCCTATGAAAAACCTTCAAACTTCACTAGTTTATGAATTGTGCAAACCAAAGAAAAATAAAAGTTGGGTGGGGGACCAAGGGGGTTGAAAGATGGAAGAGAAGGCAAGATCAGCTGGCAAGTTGGGTGTGGACCACCAAACGATAAAATTCAGTCAGTCAACATAAACCATGAAATGTTAATAAAACCAGATAAAAATATAGAAGCACCAGACCAGTCACAATTGTCATCCACGTTATAACTACAGAAAACAACAATGGAAAGAAAGAAAAACATTCTTTCCATCAATAAAAGAATGCAAAAGTTTTTTATCACTCATCCAAAACTGCAGTTGCTACTCATTTTTACAAGCAATCATTACCAGTAATTATCAGAGCACGATAATAGAGAGAAATCTAGAGTGGCTAAACAACCAGCACATTACACAACAAAAGAACATGCTTTATTCTAACAAGAATTTTTTCTGGTTTTTACTCATAAAGCAATTGTTAGATGCTGCCTGCATATGATCACTGGAGCACAAGACTGGAAGGAAATCTAGATATGCTCATCAGCTATAAAAGCAACATAAAAGATATGCTTTCACCGAGCACCTTATGAATGAGGCTTCAGTGATATATCAAATCAATCTATAATTAGTTGTTTTGTTGAGTAAGCAAGGGACAAATAAAGAACTTTTCCACTTGTCCAAAAAAAAGAAAGAAGGAAAAAGAGGAGCCTATGATGACAACTTCCAATGAAATGTTTAACCTCATCAATTTGATACACCATTCAGTGTAAACTCATCAAAGCCTAAGATTGCTCATATAAATTGCTATGTGCAACCAGAACTATTCTTATGATTAGATGTCAAGAAAAAAAAAAGTTTAAATAATATTTTGTCACTCCAATAGTCTGGTTAAAGGTTTCAACAGATTAATGCATAACTACCATGGAATATGGATGCAAAAGATGCCAACTCATTACCAGTGATAAGTGTCACCCACATTGTAACTACAGAGAAAGACAATGGAATGATAGAAAAACATTCTAGCCTACAATAAAAGAACATAAAAGTTGCTTATCACTTATCGACAACTGCTGCTGCTACTCATTTCTACAAGCAATCATTACCAATAATTATTATCAGAGCATGGTGGTGGAGAGAAATCTAGGGTGGCACAACAAGTAGAATGTTACACAGAAGTACAGAACATGCTTCATTCCAATAAAATTGTGGGTTTCAGCAGAAGACTGGAAAGAAATCTAGATCTGCTCATCAGCTATAAAAGAAACATAAAATAAATGCTTTCACTAAGCATCTTCTGATTCAAATTCATCTAAGGGTAAAGCACTAAAAACAATCTAGAAATGACCCATTTCTTGCAGTCATCCATTAATTGATCGGCTGACCAATAATTTACATGGTTTGTACCTTATGAATAAGACTTCGGTGACGTATTAAATCAATCTATAGGCATCCAGTAAGATGTTGTTTTGGTGGGTGACCCAAGGAAAAATAAAGAACTTTTCCACTTGTCATTATCATTATAGACTCTGATGAATAAGGAACAATCACTCCATAATGGTTGATGCTTTAGTTTGGAACTCTCTATTTAAGAACCAAGGGATTAACCTACTCAATTTGATATACTATTCAGTGAAAAGTGTAAATTTATCAAAACCTAAGATAGCTCATTAAATTGCTACATACAACTATAACCCTTCTTATGATTATATCTTAAGAGGAAAAAAGTTACTAACATTTTGTTACTTCAATAGTCTGGCTAAAGGTTTCAAACAATTAAGCTATAACTACCATGGATGCAAAAGAAACCAACTCATTGGCTCTAAACCTCAAGAATCTATTCAAAAAAGAAAGAAAGAAAGAAAAAAGATCAAGAATTTGTTCCCCTATATGCCACAGCCCCCTCCCTAAAAAAGGGGGAAAAAAAAAATGAAACTATCTAACTGCTTCGTCTGGATCTGATTGTGTGAACCAGAAAATATTAATAGCATTATTTCTTATTAAATAGTCAATGGATTATTAGTCTCTGACAAGGTCAGCAGCAAGAGGACACAAGATTATCAGCAGTAATTTTCTAACCAGACTTTCTTTGCTTCCCTTCCTTGTGGTAATAACAATAACTCTTCCATCAACATCACATTTTAGAGAATGTCTCATATATCAAAGATCTTCAACATCAAAGAAAGTTGATCACTTAATCCCATAATAATTGCAAGATGTGATTGCTTTTATCTTTTTGGCCGCCAATGCGGCTGCTTTAATACAAAGGAAAAATGATACGATACTAGAAGATAAAGGGAACTTTGCTTTCTTTTGCTTTTGATTTCATAAGTCAAGGAAAATCAGTCAGCAAGCACCATGTGAAATGAGATATAATTCTATCATGTTACATGTACTAAAGCATGAAGAAATCAGTGCTAAAGAGTTTGATGGTATTGCTCTATATGGTCCAATGAGCATCAAAGAAACATGCAGTCAAATCTATGACCACAGAAGCAAGGCTTAGTTGGGGTCAGCTACTAGGATATGAAAAAACAATAGGCATTCGAAGTTGCAGAAGCCTAAATCATGTTCACTATGGTAGGGCTTGAGCATTAGGCTTACAGGTAAACTATTCCATATCCATCACGGTAAACAATTTTAGGGTGCAATAATGGCAAAATCACCTTTACGTGCATAAATTTTTCACTTCAAACCAACAAGCAACACCAAAATATGGAAGAGACATTTCCGCCTTTGACCTGTGAACCTTTTATATAAATCCCTCAAGCAACCCCTACTCTTCAAATCCTTGCACGGATCCCTTACCATCATTTCCTATACACACAGACACCACATCAGAAACAAAGGCTCTACAATTCAAATGCAGAACATAAGATACTATTACCCTCTGGAGATGGTCAAGACATATGTACAGACTATAATTCAATCAGAGTGTTTGAACATGCATACTATAAACCCTCTCCATCAACTAAATAATGACTCACAAAGTGAATCACAATCACATTATACTGTTCAATCAAGAATCTCTTGAGAGATACCTCTTACATCCTACAATCCTTTCCTAGGACACTCAAATGCACTCTACAAGCATAAAATTCTATATTCAATCTAAACTCAAAAGAACCCACTTTACCATCATAAGCAATAAATTAGCATACAAAAGCACGCATAGAAAATAAAAGAAAGAAAATAACCTCCCACAGTGAAATTGACAGCCAAGAGAAGGGGCCAAAGGAACTTGTAACGCTTGGCAAACGATTCCTTTGGAGGAGGGGGTGGGGTTGGCGGAGTTGGTTGTGACCCCATAGCATACGATGCTGCTGCTGCTGCTGACGAAGAAGATGGTGTAGAAAAGTCCTTTCCTTTTACTTGCACTTGGAATTGTTTCAGTTGAGCTGTTATTTTTCAACGGAAAGGAATCGATTCAGAGACCCAAAAACACCCCTCAATCATTGAGAAACAAAGAAAAACAAAACAAAAGCTTTCCTCTTTGAAATGTGAAAGTGATGGGTTTGGTGATCATGTGTTCAAGTTTTCACCTTTCTTGGGTTTGTTGGTGTAGAGCTTTGGACCTTCGCTCATTGTTGACTGCGATTCTTGACTCCACAGATGCAACCCACATTACTGTGGTATAAGAGTAAGGGTAAAGTCTCCATTTTACTCCTCGGCCTTAATGATTCTGATCAAATTTACCCTCCACCTTCAGTTTGATCACCTTTTAAATCCATCCTTCTTTAGTTTGACCTTCTGGTCCCTTAAAAAATATATATATATAGATCCATCAAATGCACACAGAAAGCTGACCTAGACTAACATGGATCGCATGTGAGCCATCTTAAGTCTTAACCCTTAGGCAAGAGCCAAATAATGTCTCTCCTTTTATAAGTTTGATTTCTTTCCTTTATTTTGTTTCACTTAATCTTTTTAAAAAAATTAAAATTTGATTAAATTTAAATATAAAATACTTAACTTTGATATAAATATTCCAAAATATTTTGAATGACTTAAGGTGCCATTCATCAATACTCTAAAATCTAAATCACTAATACACTTACAATGAGAATCAATTGAGAAGGAATTTATTTAATGTTACTTATTTCGCTTTGTTTATTAACCTCCGTCGGTTCTAAACTTACCATCCGTGATTAATTAACGATTAATTTAACAATCCAACTTTTGCCTTGGTTGACCCATTTCAAAAGTAAGAGACAGGACTCACTTCTAAAAAACAAAATATTAAGGAATAAAATGATAACCTCAACAGGGAGGAGGACTGATTTTGAAAAACTAAAACAAAGCAAGCTGGATATGGCTGCTGTGTTCTCAATGGATATCGGAAAAAATGGATTATCAGAAATAGATACAGATTCGTTTACAAATTAGAGTCAGCTGCACCTGTCTAGATAACTGAACCAACAATTCAAAAAAATATATATATATATATATATATATTTATATGAAGAAGAAGAAGAGTAAAGGCAAAAAATACATATAAAAAAGCCTCTAAACTGTACCCTCCTGTAGTGTGGTATTACAGTTTCTACCCCTTACGGGGGTTCTTCTGTCAATTAATGGCTACCATAGCGGCTGCCACCACCATAACCCCTGCCACGATCTCGATAACTACCATGACCTGCTTCACGAGACATACAACCAATGAGGTAAAAGCAACTATGACTAATGCATAAGGGCTAATTCACAACATGCTACACACGTAAACACACACATTGATGAAAAAAAAAAATGAAGTAAGCTGCTACCAAGTGGTGCCAATCCATGAACGTGAATTTATGTTCATAGGAAAAGTACAGAAAACTAACCCATTGGAGGAGGTGGAGCACCCCGCCCCATGGCAGCCAACTCAGGAGTGACCCTCTGTCCAGCTTCCTCAAGTATGGTAATTAGCTCCTTTGCGAATCGAGCATTTGCAGCTGTGAAAAAGGTGTAGGCCGTCCCTTTTGCCCCAGCCCTTCCTGTTCGACCAATGCGGTGGACATAATCTTCAAGGGATCCCGGGAAGTCATAATTGATCACATACTTCACATCTTTCACATCTGACACCAAAGCAGAACAGTACATAAAGATGTTGAAGCTCTAGTAAAGAATTGAGATTCATACATTCCAAGAGTAGCAAGTCAAAAATAATGCCCCAGGCCTCCAAGTATCCTTAACTCCAGATCGCATATAAGCTATTCGGTATATCAAGTCAGAAAGATGGTCAGATACCCATAGCCCCACATATTACATAACTTTCCAAACGCAAATAAAGCATTAATAACGCTCCGGCAAAGATGTTATAACATTAGTTGAATACACCATAATGGATGTCGACATAAACAGGAGACTTAAAGTTCTAAAAATTAAGTATTAAGCATTAACATCACAATCAAATAAATCAAGGAACATGAACAAAGTTTGTGTAGAAACTACAAGTGCAGGAAAACTTCAAACAAAGCCTTTCAAAACCAGGAAATAGCATATAATGAATAGTGATTTGTAGTCAATTTCACATGACAGGTAGCAGCAATCAAGGTTAAAAGGATTTCTGTATGTGCCAAACGAAAAAAGGTTCAAGTCTGATGGAACAAATTACAAGGTACTGGTCACTTGCTAAAACGTTGAAAAACAAACATTTAACCATTCAAACACAGAAAGTTACATTAACAGAAAAGAAAAAAAAACACCAAAAGCTTCTGACAAAGCACCATAAGCTTCTGGAAAAGCAGGAACAAAAGCATGAGTAGAGAAGGCTGGGAAGCTGTTTAAAGGCAATAGTGACAATGATATTGATGATGCTAATTCTCTATAACATAAGGGATGCGTATGATATAACCAGATACTCAGAGCTAGGTCAATATCACTTCAGAATAAGGCCCAAATTAAAGATTTAAGGACAAGCATCCAATAAACAAATTTAAAGCAGGTAGTGTACATACCTAAACCACGAGCTGCAACATCTGTTGCAGTCATTATAGGACTCTTCCCAGCCTTGAACTCTGAGAGGACCCAATCCCTTTCTGCTTGACTTTTATCTCCATGAATTGAGAGAGCAGGCCAACCATCCAGGCGAAGCTGCCGAGTGACCTGATCACATCCTTTCTTGGTATCCATGAAAATCAATATTCTGCTACCATCCATGATATCTTCCAGCAACTTCACCAATCTTGTATATCAAGATTAATCAGTAAACAACATTAAAAACAGTGTAAATTGTTCAGTCATCAAAAGAAAGAGAAACAACAAGAACAGTATAAATTGCTCCCTACTTGTTATATTTCTGATTCTCAGAAACAATCTCAACAATTTGGCGTATTGCATGGTTAGCTTTTAACTCCTCAGATCCAATTATCACCTGTTGGTAGTCCAAAAGAAAAATCAATTGAATAACAGGGCATCAAATAAGATTACCATATTCAATTTATAAATATCATAATCAGGAAAGAATACTGGAAACTAGAAACCCCTTGAATTATCTAAAAGATAAGAAGAGAAGGTTTAGTTGCTTAGCCCATAGACAATTGCATTGGTAGCAGTACATAATCAAAAAACAAAAAGGGAAAAAATGTCAGAGAAGGAGCGCACTAACAAGTACAAAAATTGTCTGGCATCTTACTTTGTATGGCTTGTAAAGGAACTGCCTTGCCAGTTGTTCAACCTCCTTTGGCCAAGTAGCACTCCAATACAAGGTTTGACGATCTGGGCGAATCTGCAAAGAGCAAGATAAATAAGACCCATAAGGTGATTGAGGGTGAAATGCCAATTGTCTTGTGGCTGCAACAAGGTGACTTTTTTTACCAAGATTCCATACAGTTGCATAAAATGACACTTCCTATTCTATTTCTTTAAACTTTGTTTCAACTTTTTACATTATATCTGGGGAAAAGGGAGCAGCAAATCTAGATCAAGCATCCATTCTCTTTGAGAAGCATAGCAAGTAAAACGGGAATGAGATATCAAGATGCTTGCTCTAATCATGATATAACTCCTCCCACCACCAGAAAGGACACCATTTTGGAGAAAGAACTAAAATGGCAGTGAATGTCCAGCTGCAGTTTTTAATACAGCAGCCAAACTGAAAAGAAGAGGCTTGTGAGAAAGCCCATACATGTTCACTCTGACATCCATGACCCATACTGACATCCCGCAAAGAAGAGTTTTTCCTACCTTGTGAGAAATGTCCTAGATTATGACTTCAAACCAAAGCTGGGTAAGGTCAGGCCAAATAGGCAAATACATGAATTTTCAAACTGACAAATATATTTTAAAAGTCCACTCAATAAGGCATTTTCGGTTGGTTCCTAGCTATCAGCAGAGTAAAGTAGCCAATGGCATTAGCATTGCTAGCAAATATGTTAAGGGCATAGAGGGCTACAAATGAAAAGGAAAGGAGGGCAAGCAGCAAGCTGGTGCAGAGAAGATTCAGAGGAACCTTTGCGTTCATAAGAAAATGTTTCCACAACCACAGAAAAAGGATAATATATGACATACTTTTCCAATAAATTGAGTAAGAAATTGTTACTTCTAAGGGGAGAGGAAAAGAAAAAACCTGAGAAACAATTTTTCGTATCTGAGGCTCAAACCCCATGTCTAGCATCCGATCAGCCTCATCCAGAACAAGGTATGTGACCCTTCGCAAGTTTGTATGATGTGACTCTAACATATCTATCAACCTCCCAGGAGTAGCAATGACAATCTCAACACCTGATCCAACAATGGATGTAATAATCACGTTTCCAACAAGTGTGAGCAGCTACGATACAACAAAATCACTAATGCAATTGAACTTCTAGTTGACAGCAAAATGTCCAAGACTATTTATAGGACTATACATAAAACCAATTTGGAATACAGCGTAAACAGTATAATAGCTCATTCCTCACAGATCTGGAACATATAACAAATACCTTTCTGGAGATCACGCACCTGAGGCCCCTTTGGAACCCCACCATATACGCAAGTACTCTTTATCCTAGATGATGCACCAAATTTTGTAGCTTCCTGTTGTATTTGAACAGCAAGTTCACGCGTTGGAGCTAATACTAATACAATTGGACCATCTCCCAAAGCTGAAAATACAACAATAACCAAACTTATTTCCTTCGAAGCACCAAAAGAAAAAAAAGTTAAAGAAAATAAATTATGAGATGAGTTATGTTTATACCTAAAATTGGCTGTGCATTAACATGGACAATTGCAGGCAATAAGTAGGCAAGTGTCTTTCCAGATCCTGTTTCAGCAATACCAATGAGGTCACGCCCCTTTAAAGCCATTGGCCATCCTTGAGCTTGTATAGGTGTTGGTTCCACAAAGCCAGCCTTTGTTATTTCTTGCAGTACATAATCTGGGTTCAAGGGAAGAAAAAATTATTAATCTTTCAAGAGAGAAAAACAATTTGACATATTAATTTCAATATATCAAACATAATTAAGGTATCAATCATGACTGGCACATATCCAAATGGTAGAAAAGGCAACAGATTATCACAATGGGCAAAGCTAATAAATAACTTTGTGCTTTCTTCTGCAGTACTTTAGGACTTCTTTTATCCAGTCTTCTTGATCTGCCTTGGTCAGATAAGGTAGAAACAGAGCTCCAACACCAAAAGTGACTAATATCAGAGAATTGTGAAGTTGGAAAGGAATAACTCTTTAACTTTTAATGAAGCATCCATGGAAAAATCTTTCATATAATATACATTTTAGTTGCCTTCAATTATAAAGCTCTAAAACAAACTTCTCTGTGAAGAAGGATAGAACTAAACAGACCATTTTTCATCAAACCTACAACAACCAATGACTCTTGGCTCATGCTTAACCTATTTGATGGTAAAACATCAAAGTTGAACTGTAAATAGGTTGACATTGAAAACTCAACATCCATTACTGATTACTTATTGAAGGATCCACTGCATTCTAAGAAAAACCTATATACTAATCTTGAGGTTCAAACTCTTCAAAGATACATGTTAGAACCAAACAAATAAACAGAGTCGCCAACTTCACTTTCTGTAAACTGACACACAAACAGAAACAGGAGAAATGGGGTACCCATATGGTAAAGAGCTGGATTCTCCAAAAAAACAAGAAAAAATTACCTGGAAACCCCACATCACGAAATGTTTTCACAGGCCTTGGAACATCACGACCTTCTACCGTGATTTCTCTACGCTTCCGATACTCCTCAACATCCCTCTCTGACATTGATGCCACTTCCTGTGACTCAACATAGAAATTCTTCTCAAAAGGAGTCAACCCATCTAAATCAAACTTCCTAGGTGACTCAGCACCATCATTATCTCTCCTGCTTGACGAAGACCTCACTGAGCCACCATATCCTGAAGCCCCACCAAATCCCGAGTCACTAGAAAAAAAAAAAACATAAAATTCAAGGCAGATGAAATATCAAAAATATGAACTAGAACTACCCAAGCGCACATGGTGAGTCACTAAAATAAGTAGCAGAGATGGACAATATCAGACGAGGAAGGTTGGCATTATAGTCAACAAATTTACATTAGGATAGATTGTACCCAGCTAAAAAAAAAAAAAAAAACCCTGAAATTTGCATAGTTAAATTTACAGACTAAATGCTATCCAAATTTATCAGTCCTCGGTTTCAGGTCTAGCTGAAGTTCAGAAATACAAAACCAACAACCAAACCCAACACAAAAACACTTAATTTCTGCACACTGTTTCAATCAAAAGGAAGGCTAGCAACCACACAACTCCTTATTATGATTCAATTAATACATACAATAAAACCCAATAACGGAAAAACTCAGGATCACCAAGCAAACTCCAGTATTAAAAGGAGATGAAAACTATACTGAATTTCTAGCGAATACACCCATCTACATGTGAGCCTATAGATATATATATATAGTCACCAACAAATTATTATACATAAAAGCATTTAAACGTTAGAAATTACCTTCGACGGTCACGGTAGGAAGTGGGATCGCCGGAGCGACTATCATAGCGACTCATATTGGGCAACACTGCCAGTGAGAATTTCAAAGCTTCCGATGAAAATGAATGAAGCTCTTATTCTTAATCTTCCTTATATGTTGTGAATTGAAATGGTTAGGGTTTTAAGTTGCAGAGGTTTATTTTGGAAAGTTGCAAGCAATTGGGAGGAAGAAGGTTCTCTCTCTCTCTCTCCCTGTCTCACGGTATAGCGGATTGTACTCTCTTCTGTGCGAATGTACCGTGACAATTTAAAAACCGTTGATGAACAGACACGTGGCAGTGTTACCTTATGATTTACGGCCTTTTCTTCCAGAAGAATGCTCCCACTGCTGTGTGTTATTGTACCTTTCTATTTTTATTTATTAGGTTAATTTTTGCATTTGGTATACTAACTATTAATCTGTTATCACTTTAGTCTAAAAACTTTATTTTATTCAAAACTGGTCTAAAATATATCAAATTCCATTAAGAAATCTTCAATTTAAACAGAATTTTCATCTAGGTGATTATGTCACACCACATAGAAACCATGTGATCCAAAAATTTACTACATTTTAACTTGTAATCAACTTTTTCATTACTTTTAATCACATCTTTCAATTTTTAATCACTACTTTTAATCATATAAATGCAAGTGGTTTTTTTTTTTTTTTTGTCCACATAGCTTCTAGGTTGTGCCATGCAGTTGCTAACATGGAATTTTCATTTAAAAAATTACAAAATTTTGATGGATAGGCTATTTTGATGTATTTTTTTAAGTTTCTAAATTAATGTTAAAATAAATATTTTTTGTAAACCAAAACAATAACAACTTAATGGTCGATACACCAAATATTAAATTTAACTATTTATTTTATTTTAGGTTGTACTTTTTTTTTAACTCTGTGAAAAGCATATCATTTCATCAAAGCCATACGGCATTTACATAAGAAAATTTGATATCATTGATAAGAAGAAATTACAAACAGATAAGGCACAATTAGAAAGATTGAAAAGTATCTACATAAGAAATTTTGATATCATTGATAAGAAGAAATTACAAACAGATAAGTTACAATTGGAGAGAATGAAAAGTAGATCAAGTTCAATATAAGATAGATAAAAGAGGGGTAGTGAGTATGTCACACGAACAACAGCTAAGGAAATAGATTTTGACAAATTCCTTTAGTTGACCGTTCTAGAGAACTGGACACCCTTTCATATATTCTTGCATAAATTATGCATGTTCTCTAGGATGCTGTGGTTATAACATTAGAGCAAGCGGCAGCCATCCCTTGAATTCTTCATGATTGGTTTGTTGGTTGCTAGATCTGAGCAAACTAAAACAAGAAACGAGAAACAGAAAGAAAAGAGAACAAAGGCCACCAACAAGGTCACAAAAGAACTGGCAAATCATCTAAAGTGGTCACCAAACATAAAAGCACGGTTGACCCGCTCTACCATGCTTGAGAAGCCCTCCGACTGCTCACGCATCAAAAGATCGAAAAGCCTGAAAGCTTTTGAGCACTCAAAAAAAAAGGTGAAAACTGGAGAAATTTTGAGGCAGATACTAAAGAGTTCTAGAGGAGAGAGAGAAGTTACAAGGGTTTTTATTTTAGGTTGTACTTTGGCGCATACATCCGGATACATTCATGAGCCATTGGCAGGTGAAGAGGACATTACATATTATTACTTTGGTTTAGTACTATAGAAGTTTCATACTCTTAAACTTGACATTATAATCATGGTTTTAAGATTAGTAAATAGTATGATGGTTGGATGAATCTAGATGTTGAATTTTAGGCCTTTTTTTAAAAAAAGGACATTACATATTTTTTTCACATAACACCTCACTTAAAAATGTAAATTTCTTATTGTTAATTAATTTTAATTAATCTTTTATAAACTTTTATTGATTTTAATTAATAGTTTATACTTTATATATCGTTTGTATAGTAAAAGACAAAAAAACCTTATAAACAACCAAAAGCACATTTCAGCACTTTCAAATAAAATCTTAATAATTGAGTCCTTAAAAAAAATATAACTATTACTAATAATTTAACTGATTGAATAGTAATATCTTTTTAATTAAACTAGATATCTTAAATTTAAATTATAGAGCATGTGTTAGTAGAGTGAATAAAATGATGAAAAAAAATTTGGCTCTTATCTGCAATCTAAAATTTTAAAAAAAAAAAAATCTCTAGAAAAATAGGCAACGTAAAAATGCATTGAAATATCAATTTTTCCTGAAGGAGGGAGAGCCCAAGATCTTGGGCTTGATATTTGGACCGTCAGCCCTCAATCCAACCCGCCCGGCCACTCCAACCACAACTTCCAAATTTTGTGGATCATTAAAAAGAATTTTGTTTTTTAAAAGGAGAAACTGCCAAATATCTCGGCCCATGTTTTTTTTTTTGTACACTGGGCTAACAGAATCCAAAATTCTAAGAAAAAGAATTCCAATCCAAAATACTTCTATTAAGGCTCGGAGCCCAACACTTGAAATTTTGAAATGAACATATTTGCGAGGTTCATTTGCCCCCTTTCCCATGCATTCTAATGCTAAGTCATTAGAATTGAGACTGAATTCTTACTCTCCTTTTTTTTTTGGGGGGTGGGGGGTGGATTATTTTGGTGATCTTTAAATGCTTTTTCAGAAATTATTTATTTGTATTCCACTAACAGTACTTACATACATCTATTCATCCTAAATCTCAACCCTTTTAGAGGTAAGATGATCAATTTTTCTTAAAGTAATAACAAGTTTTTCTGTTCCAATTCATCCCACAAAAAAAAATGTTGAAATTTCTCAGAATTTATTACTCCATCATTCGCTTAATAAGCCAAATCAACCAAAGGAGCCATAGAGAATTTATTGCTCTTGTCCATTGTCCCCTTTTGAGAGGCCATGGTCCATGGATAGATATGCTTGATGTGGTAAAGAGGATACCTATGCATTTGTGGCAATCCAATCTCTAAGGGAAAGGCCTATCCTTGCATGTTGCAGTGAAGTTAGGAAGTTGTTGTCTTGTTCCAAAAATGGTGATGAAGGAGAACCACCAACTCCTTTTGTTATATGGATATGAATAATGTTTACAAGATGGTGAGTTGTCATCTCCATCTTCCAATTAAATGGAATTTGCATCACCATAATAGTTCCAATGATAATTAGCTAATTTTAGTTATTATAGTTACATCAAGGTTCAAAAATGAAGGAAGCGATGTGGTATTTCTCACAAGAAAATAAAAAGAAGGGAAAAACAAAAACAAAAATAATTTGTATCAACATCCACCCAATGAAATGATTGTAAATCTTTTTTTTTTTTTAAAGAAATCTTCTTTCGCGACATAATTTTTTTTTTTTATGAGTACAATTTGAGTAGGGGATAGAGAATTGTAATATGATAACATCATGATTCAAATTTTAATTATTATCAAAGCATTAAATACACTTATTAAATAATTCATGAGGTTTAATGTATTTGTTACATAAAAAAATTAATATTTAGTTATTACAGTTATTTAAATTTGTACTAATTAAATTAATTAAAGTCTTTATATGCGGTAGGAAATGAGAGCTATGCACTTTTTTTTAGATATTTTTAAAATAGAAAATTATTTTACAGTACGAATTGTATGCAGTTTGTCCTATAAAATTACTTAAAAACCCTTAAAAAGAT